TTTCTTCAAAGTTATTCTTCAAAGGATGCATAAAAAACCCATTGATAACTGAGACGCAGCAGAGTTCATGTTATTTGGCTTAACTAGTGTGCCAAACCTGGTGTGTATCTATTGGTCTATCACAGACACAGTTTTCATACTACTTGCTTTAATTTCAACTGCTGAAGTATGGATACTCCTACTGTGCTGAAGTGCCCATCAGGCTCAAGCCCCCATTGTGCCCTGCTGTGTACAAACTTGAAGCGGTTCCACACGTTATTCCCAAAAGTACTTTGGATTTTCCAGTGGGTTGAGTTTCCTGGAATTAATGGTTGGGATGCTGGACCTCAAACATTACCTCTGACAGATACTAGTTTTCATGTTAATGAGCTTGTTAAAATACTAAGGAAAATAATCTCCATATGAAAACTATATTAATAATTTTATTATATGTTATGTAAACATTTTCAGGATGTTGAAGAACCATCTCTAAAAAAATCACCTCAATTAATTAGGAATATCACATTCTCAATAAAATTACACAAGGTATTGGAATTAATAGAGCAGGATTTCATATATTTTTCTTCATTATGGCAGCCACAACAAAAGTCTGTTACCTAAAGCTCTTTTCTATAGCAGTCTGGGCTCTTCCATACTGCAGAAAGATCCTCTTAGAAGGTGGCCTAAGGGATAACCGTAAGCTTCTATACAGAAATTAGTTTTGTCTTGGTCTTAGGCCAACCCTAAGGACAGTCTTGCTGGCATTTAACACAAATAGGAGCCTCCTCAGGCTCCATGACTCTCTGCATGGTAAAGTCAATAGGTTTTACAGGATCTGAGCATTTATTATGTGCTGCTGTGACCCAAATACGGTTATAATGCAACAGTTAAACAAGACATATTAATGGAGAAAATAACCATTGGATTCAGTGAAGATTGTTGCAGTCTCCTGAGGTTTCAGTGTAAATATGGGTATGTTCAACACTACTGCTATGAAGTGAAATAGTCTGTGCATTATTTGTCTGAAGCAATCTATGATTACTCTGATGTCATTGCTCTTCAGAGTCTTGTCTTCAAAGATAAATGTGAGGACAGCTGTGCAAGTTATGTTCAGTCTCATTGCTGAATTTATCACTTAATAAGTAGAACAGTTTATCATGTATACATAGAGATTTTTCTGTTATTTTCCTGCAAAAATTCACAAATGGGGATCATCATTTTCTTGGGATATAAGAAGAAGCTCTGTGTCATCCAATGCACTTTTAGATTTTCAAAAGGCATGGGTTTTAATTAAAGGAAGGACTGTGGGTTCTGCACAGAAATGAGTTGTATAAAATGAGGAGAACCCATGTCAGATATGGGGCAAACAGAAACTCTCCAGTTTCAATGTCTTTGAGGCCTGAAAATTTGAGATTGAAGTAGAAACGTATTTATTTTAAAAAGTGAAGTAGCCTTTAAAGACTTTTCCTAAAAAAAATTAAACTATAATTCAATAGTCTGGGATAAGAAAGGCACATAGCATGAATGTTTGAACCTATCAGACTCTTCTGCCTAGAAAGTCTCCACCAGCTGATTACTGTTTGGTTTTAAGCAGGAGCTATTGACCTATTTTTGATCAATCCTCTAGTGATTTTTCTTGAGGTCCCAATGTTCAAAGATGTCAAATACCAAGTTGCCACCCCCAGATGTCATTCTAAGATTCTGGATGTTCTAGGGATGAACTCAAAATCTAGAGCCATGAGGCTGAAGATGAGAAGTTTAAAACCAGCCAGAAAAATATTCCCCAGTCCTACCTGTACCCTAATTTTTCTGCACTATGGAACAGAAATATGGGGGAAAATTTCGTATCTATATTTACCATGTCAGGTGAAAATTTTCTACTGTAGGCACAGCCATATGGTTATTCACAAAAGCAAAATTCATACTTAGGAAAATCTGAAGAACCCACTATGAGATATGAGTGAACAATATGGAGAAGCATTGCCTCCTTTTTTCTTTTAGGAGTTATTTCTATTACTATTTTAAATCTATTCTAGGCAATGGTTAATGAAGAAAACCTGAAATAAGAGAAGAATTATGATAAACTCTAGTTCTGTTGCAACACAGTTTAAACTAAAATCTGTGTTTGTAATAGTTTATCCATATATTTATTCAAATATATGAAAATGTATGCAAATTTCCACCCCATTGTTTTGTGGTTAGGTATACTACAAGGGATATTTCAGGCTATGCAGCTTCCCTAGCTAACAACTCTCACTGTCTTCTATTGTAATAAGATTCAAACAACAACTGATCTTGAATTCTGAAACTGAAGAAAGCAAGCAAAGGTGAAGTAATATTATCCAGAATCTTAAAAGAAAATGGAAGAGCTACCCATTCTTACAGGTACTTTATATAACAAAATGCCTTTAGCTCATTTTTTAGCTTCTTGTGTCCATGCAGTTAGGCATTTAATTACCTGTTTACCAGCTTACATCTTAGACATTCAGCACTCAATAAACTGGTGATTGCATTTAGATGAAATTCAAGAGAATTATCACCACTCTAAATAATACTTACATTTATTGCAAATCTTAAATGACCCTTTTTAAAAATTGTAAGCCTCTAAAGTACATCCTTTCTCCTAAAAGACACAATAAATCACTTAAGCACCCCTCCTGTTCTACTGAAGAGGCATCTGATTAACAGTCTTTTTCTAATAGAGTTAAGAACCTGGGAGGGTCAGAAATGAAATCTAAATGTCTCTTTTCAGAGCTATTAGGGAAAGAATCTGTATAGTAGTTTGATCCATATCTGCACTTGGATTGAGCAATTGTGTTAGGCAGAGAATTGCCTGGCATTATCTTATGACTCACTTGACAGAGCTTACCCCTACTTTTCATTACCTGAGAAGAGATCATTACAAAACATACAAGTAGTATAATTTTATAGCAATCTATTTTGAACTAGCAAATTAAATGGGAAGAAGAGAGGAAATGGAATGCAGCAAGCATAATCCTTTGAATTGTGTTTTAAAGAAATAGGAGTTTAGCAGAAGTGTGGAAGAAGGACTGGGTTAGAAAGCAGGAGCCTTTTCACTATTGTGTGACATGGCAGACCTAACTGCACAAACCCGATTAATTCATGCTGGAGAACCCTCTCATTGAAAAAGGGTGAATGAATATATGTAGGTGTCTTGGGTGAAAAATATCTTCAGTTGTGAAGGGTAATATGTACCAGATAACTGGCTGTGTGTATGTTTCAGCAAAAGTCCAAAATTGTCATTCTGAGGATTCAAGCTGAAGCCTGCCACTTTCCTAACTGCAACTAATACAAGTTGGCTCTAAATTTTCCTAAAACTTGGACTAAAATGCAGTGAAATATCTCGAGCCCCTCCGGTTACCAAAGAAACATGTCGGGACCAACAACTAGAATAATGATCATGTTTCTGCATATAAACTAGACAGGGAGAACCCTGGGCTTGGGATGCCTGTAAAAAAAAGGAGGCTGAAACACAAGGATTTCTAAAGAGAAAAAGTGGTTTTGAAGAGAAGAAAGAAGACCAGGAAAGGAGATGGGAAAGGGTGCTGGTAGTCAGAGAGATGCATGGAGATGGAAACTAGGAGATGCTCAGGGACTTTTACCTGTGATAGTCCGGAAGGGTCACTGCAAGCAGCAGGAACCCACAGAACCTCCTGCCCAAGTTTCCCAGAACAGCAGTGACTTCTCTATCAGAGTGGAAGTTAAGGGTTAAAAGGGGTGGAGCTGGAGAGCGAGGGAGTGGAAAATAACCAAGCAGGCCAAGTGCTCAAATCTTTAAGGTTATTAAGCCCAGTATACAGGTCCACTACTAGCTACTGTTATCTCTCCTGTGGCAGTGGGAGAAGGACAAGATGACCAACAGAAAGTCTTGAAAGTTAGGATTGGGGATTTGGAAGACTGCATTCATCTGTGAGAAATGCAAAACCAAATAGAATCACTGTCCTCTAAATTCATAACTGAAGCAAATCCTTAGTAACATTTCTTGGGAGAGGAATTAATTAGAGGGAGAATAATTTTCCAGGCAAGGTTTTCCCATTAATTTGGTTTGCAGAACCAACATTAATGAAGTGTAGGGTTGTACCTAAAGGTGGGATGTCTCCACTCTTCCAGCTTTCCTGTAGGATCACCTCACCTCTTTGTCCCTTTGTTTATAACTTATAAAAGTTGATATACCTCCAAGTCCCAAAAGTGAAATATAGAAAATTTTATGGAATACTCCTGAGAGACATTAAATAGTCAAGCTGGTTCAAGCATCTACAATATATAGGTAAAAACTATAATTAATAGAGAAATAATAACAGAAGATGCTGCAGAGAGAGCCTTGTGCCTAAGGTTTTATTACAAAGGGCTGGAATTGACTTACCAGCAGGACAGTCAAAGCTGCCTGGAAGCAACTTATCCACAAGGTTTCAGGCACTTTTCTAGCACATGGGTGCAGAAGGCATTTTTACAGATAAGAAAGTCTTCAGGCAAAATTATAAGATGACTTAGAATGCTTGAAAGACCACAAGGAATTTTTTTTGGCACTTTGGCAGCTCTTAACTCAATGCTGAATGCCTCTGAATGAAATACAGACTCTTTCAGGGGCACATCAACCTTCCCAACAGCTTCTCTGCTCCATAGAAAGCTTTTTTTCCTTCAATCCTGTGACTTGCCTGTCTGCTCCTGTCACTGCCAGCATCCTCTCTGATGGAGCCACAGACTGCCAGCTCCTTGATGCAGCTTTAACAGGAGAATTGCTCCAAGGGCAGGAGTCAGCTCCCAAGCTTTTTGGAAAGTCTCACCTGCCATGGTCATTTCTCATGAGGGAAGAGAGCCTGCAAACCAGGAGCATGAAGTGCAGCAAGCATTGTCTTGTCTGCCATATCCACACTGAATTAAAACAAAAACAATACTACCACAGGGACCAGAATGTGGGAATTCTACATCTTTTATTATGAGATCTTATATATGCCTGTTTTACTTCTGTGTCCTCTTTCCCTGTGCGTTCTCTTTCACAGATCCACACAGCTACAGTGGGAGGGTTTCAACCACCCAAGCCTCATGTACAGCCTGGTGGATTCCTCCTGCAGGTTTGGAAAGGTGAATTTAAATTAAGTGAAATGAGTGGTATGGCCAGGTGTGACCACAGCTGTCTCCTCTGTTTAAATTTATGTTGCAGTCCTCCCAGAAGAAGCTGTCACATGGTTTTTCTGGAGCTCGGGGAGGAGTGGGAATAAAATGAACCTGTTTGGAGAGGAAGGGTGGCAGAGGCAGCAGGGTGCAGAATCAAAGAGCCACAGCAGGGATCCAGGAACTGCAGGGAGGGTTGTGCAAGGGTAAATGCCACACACTTGGCTTTGCAGAGAGAGACATAAGTGAGGACACTGCGGTCCAGGGAAAGAATTGTGCAGAAATCTTTCTGTTTTGTTCTGTTTACACTTTGTCAGTTGGAGAGTTTTGTCATTAAACACAGTGATCCTACTGTTCTAAGAAAAAAATGTTTTAAAGAGGTCGCTATGAGAAGCTTAAGCAGATCTACCACAAACCTCTGGCCTGCTCAGGAACTCAATGCACTCAATGCCTACATGGTACAAGGTACTGACCACAAGATTTAAGGTGACTGCAATTGCTGTTCGTTGTCATGGTTTAACCAAAGCCAGTAACTGAGCACCACACAGCTGCCTCCTCACTCACTCTGCCACTTCCCTCCACCCTCATTCTGTAGGGTGGGGAGACAAATCAAAAAAAAGGTAAAACATGTAAGTTAAGAACTGTTCCACACAGGAAGTAAATTTAAAAAGTAACCATAATGATAATAGCAATAATAATAATAATAATAATAAATAATAATAATAATACAGTGAAAGAGGGTGGGGGAGAGACAGAGAGAGAGCCAGGAGAAACAAGTGATGCACCACACAATTTCGCACCACCTCACTAATCAATGCCCAATCTGTCCACCAAGACCAATTGGTGACTCCTAGCAAATTCTCCCCAGTGAATATACTAGGCATGACATTCTTTACAATGGAATCTGTCTTCCTAGCCATGTTTCCTTCCAGTTTTTTTGTGCACCTCCTCTCTGACAGGGCACAAGACACTGAAATGTACTGTTAGCTGTGAGTAATAGGTACTCAAACTTGGGGCACTTTTAATTGATTTGCGTTCTTACGATTGGAGATGCTAAAGATAACTGAGCAGATATAGTTAGGAGGCTCTTGTTCATTTTAGTTAATGATACCAATAGCATTCTTTTCAGTTCTTTTCATCTGCTTTGTCTATTCCTTCTTATTAAAGCCAATTAGAAAATTTTCTAACTGCAATGTATTATCTCTGATATAATTACCAGTAAGTCATGAATACCAGTCATATGACTGCTAATGAAAAGCTGTTCTGTTTCTTAAATTAGCTATCTTAATATTTTCTGCAGTAAATTTTCTTCCTTATTTTTCTAAATCAAGTTTAGAAAACTGCAATAGAGCAGTAATGGGCCAGGGGTGCTATAAAAAAATCTTAGTGAATGGAGTAATTGTAGCACTTACAACAGATGAGATGTTTGCAATTAATTTTACAGTTACTGCTCAAGACACTATTTTGGGAAATAAAATATTTTACTAACTTAAATTAATACTGTTTGTAGACATTTCATGTTGGAAAACATTGGGTAAAAATTTACCCTTCTGGTCTCCTTACTAAAAGATGCATTTTACTGCTACCTCATTAAACTACTATAAGCTCTGTGATTTCACCTCCAATATTTTCCTAAACCCTTGTTTATATTTTTAATAAAGTTTGATATTAAAGTAAGAGAATAAAATTATAACTAATATGAAAGTTTATCTCTAAAAATGTACCAAAATATAAATTAAAAAAATGTTTTTTCTTTTAGTAAGAACAGCTGCCAACCTTTAGGTTGTTTTGTGCCTGTGGCAAACAGAAGTGTACGATGCAGCCATAGAGAATGGAAGTTATTTTATGGAGTAGTACTTCTTCTGTTACATTAAAATTGTCTCATCTTACAGGCAGACAAGAAGCTACTATGCACATGGACATGGTTATACCACAAAGGCTGAAGTGGGGAGGTCCGCATGTTGCTAACTGAAGCAATCTAGAGACTGAATGAGATGAAGAGTCTCCTCCACATGATATCTCGTCCCTAAACCAAGACACATCCCCTGCCTGCAAACAGAGCCATTGCACAAATTGAATATTTCCCACAGTTTGTAGACCCAGCCAGGCTCCTGCAGTTCCCAGGATAGCTGCACAGAAGCAGCAGCAGCTCTTTATCTTTTCCATTCTAGAACTGAATGATGTGAGAGATTCCCAGTTTTGTGAAAAAACAATGACTGGAACAGTCCAAATAATGCTATCTGATACAATGGACCGCCAAAATGTTTTCTGGGGCTTTATATTTTCCTTAAAAAGAGAATGTCTCAAAGAAATTATCTTCATACTGTGACTTTACCAGGTACGATTTTAAATCTTGTCCCTTTCTACCAAAAGTACGCAGCACTGAAAGGCAAAGTTCACTGTATAATATTAAGAAGACTGCAGCCCCATTAAGATAAAAGTTCCAAAGAGGGAAACTAGTTGAGGCTGTTGCCTAAACCAATCCCATCAGGCCTCCTGCTGAAGGTATATATTCTACTGAAGAAAAAATCACTATATGTGTTTTCTGCTTTGTAGCAATGCTTTTCTTTTTAATCTAGCTGTTTTTGTTCTTGTCCTTTTATTCCAAGCAAACAAAAATGAATTCTTAGCAACCTGGGAATATATTTCCTAATGCCCTGTAGCAAATACACTTTTTTCAGTCATATAGACTACTGGAGAGGGAAAATGAACCCTTTATGTGGTAAGCAAAGACATCTAAAAATGGAAAATGACAAGGGAAGTTTTCTGACCAAGAGTAGTTACACTTAATAGAAGTATTTTCTATTTGCAGAGCAGGTAAGCTTGACTCCCCAGTTCTTCAGGTTTGATCTAAAGCAGGAGCTGCAGTGTGTGATCTCCGTGGAACTGAAGTGCAAGAAGGTCACTCATGGACCTGGCCTTAAGAAGGAACAAGCTTTTAAAACTTGTTTGCTTACCCACTCTCTGTATGGGACATACAGCATAGTTTTAGTGGCTCCATGTGGAAATGTGCGAGAGCAAAATATACAGTGCGGTTGTAGAAGCATCAAGTAAATCTTCATCAAAATATTTTAGGTTGTAGCACTACAGTAAACCCTGCAAGCCAAATCATTAATGTGAAAGCTTGCATTAACAATAATGGAGTTTTATTGGCGTAAGAGTGTGGCGTACACAACTGGCATGAGATGATTTTTGTTGTTCTGCTTCATGGTCTAATGCACTGAATATGAAAAACAAACTTCAATAGGGCTGGGAGGCAGAAATGGGGAAGGCACTGTGTTGATTTGTGCTACCCAAGTTAGCACTCCTCTCCAGCCACATCACTCTGACTAGCGTGTCAAGTGTCACTGTAGGCTGACCCCTATGACCAGCAAAGGATTTGCAATACTTCATGATAGGCACTTTGATCCCTTTTCCAGTGCTCAGGTTAGGCTGCCTATAGGTTGGTGCATGTCCTCATTTTGTACCTCAAATCAGCTGCACTGTGCTATTTTTATGGGAGCTTTGCCTTTGAGGAGCGATTCAGAGTGCCCTCAGTTACCTTTATTTTTAGATAAGAGGAGAACACAATCCCTGTTTCTCATATTGCAGTTCAGTGGCTGGAACATCTGTCCAGGAGGTGGAAAACTCCTTTGGAGTCTAATGTCATTGAGCTAAAATGTCTGAAACCCAGTTCCCTGCCCTATCCACAGCAGCCTGCAGCACAGGCAGAGGAATTGAGGGCTTTCCTCCATGCCTCTCACTGTGACTGTGTCACTGCAAAAAAACAAGAGTCACAGGAACTCCAAAAACTGGAGCAAAAAAGAGAAGGCTTTGAGGCTTGGCAGTAAAGGAGGAATGAGTAGCAATGGCTCTTCCATTCTGCCATATTTACAACTTTCAGCAAAAGCATATGAATCAGTCCCATGGACTTCAGAAAATGAAACAACCTGTTTGAAGCTTGGTCAGAATCTACTCTGTGTACTAGGGGATAAGAATTGCTGACTTCACTTCCATTAGGTGGCTTTTGAACACACTGTCTTATCTGAGTGTTCTACAGTACTGGGGGAAACCTACCATAAACTAGACTAATTTCATGTATATTTGTTTAAAAGAAACCTTTCGCTTAAAAGTGGTTAAAAGCCCTTCTACTTTATAAATAAATCATCTAGACATCTTCTGTTGTTGCTAATTTTTGTATACTTCTTGAATGTGATGAAGTAATTGCACAACCAGAGAGGACAATTATATTTTATTGCTATGAGAAATTCCATGATTTCTGACAATGAAGTTATTTAGCAATAGGCAGTGCTGATCTGCCTGTGTGTCAGGTGTATACACATAACTGTGTACTAGTGTTGTTCAATACAATTTATATTGTTTGACTGAAACAAACAGATCTATTTTACCCTCTAAATTTCTAGTACATGATAAATATATGCCACTCTTGTATTACCATAAGGCTGTTTTCACAAAGTCTGGGCAGTAAAGGGATTCATATAGAGAAAGTTCATGTTGCAATTATCAAGGCTTTCCATTCCTTGCACTGATGTTTTTCATTTTTATTTTTATGTTTATTTTTATTGAAGGTTTATAATGTTATTTTCATTTCTGTAATGACAGTCCCTCTAAATAAACAGGAAATAAAATGTGATCAAACACCAGTCAGTCATTTTCTGGTAATTTGTTTGAAGACTAGAGAACCTAACTTACATTATTTAAGTGCAAGGCAAAGTGCAGTAAAATGTAACTGCTCTCCAGTATACTGGACACAACTGTGACAGCTGTGTTGCTGAGAATCTTTGTACAACTCTGTATGTGCTCAGACATATATTCATTTCTCCATTTATTACTTGAACAGGACATAAGCACATGTGGACTACTTTTGCTCATTTATATAAATCCAGCAAAACTTCACCAGAAAGTGTATTAAAATAATTTAGATTGGAGTTCAACTTTATGAAAACCTGTGATTTTCAGAGTCTAAGAGAGGAATAGCATCATGTCTACCTTTTGCATGTGTCTCCACTGTTCCATCATTCATGTATCTCCTCTGTCCCCTTACCTCCGTGAGACAGGCTTTTTAAAGGCTTTTACTCTATTTGTGTTTTGAGGTGAAGTTTCTGAAGCTGTATGAAGATGCACTTGCAATGGAGAAGTTTTGATTCTGGTTTGTAGATTGTTGGTCACAATTCTGGTTGAAGCAGAACCATCTCTTCTTTTTCATGGATAGCATAGATATTCAAATATTTTTTATTTTGTACCTAGTTCATTTTCACTGAAATTAACAGTTACATGTTCAGGATAACAAGTAAAAAATATCTGGTTAAAAACAATTGTGTCCCTGTATTCTTTTCTCTAACCTGATAAATGTTAAGTGTTTTAACCAAAATTTGTAATTACAGTGCACTTAAAATTCACAGTTGAGTTGAATTTGTACATGGAACTTGCAATAGTAGAGTTGTCAATATGCTCTGGCTTTCAGCTCCTGTGTATGCAATCTAGGGGTTTTGTGTTTCTGGAGCTCCCTGTGTACTACATATACTGTTCTTTGTCACTGATTCATATCAGGACTGTTGTTGGCCATGAACTCCTGAGATATGCTCTGACAACCTTAGCACTGATTATACTATATACATCGGACTTATTTTACTGAGTCAAGCAACACTTGAAACAAGTGTTCAACTCAAAAGGAGAAAAAATAATGGAAAAGTTGAAAATAATGGAAAGGTTTAAAATCAACCAGATGCTCTGGAAATTGATTTAAAATATCACCTTTGAATGGTGGCTTTGTTTGGATGCATATAAAAATCTTTGAAATTGTTACTACAGTTTGGAGTAAATCCAAGATTCTCTTTTGCATTATTATGTATTTATACTGGTTATTGTGATGGTAGAACTGTGGCCAATGCATTATGCTGGTCTCCCTGGGAAATCACTTTTCTGAGTTAGGAGTACAGGACTGCCTCTGGGTCATAGTAGCCTCTCAATTTTCTGTAGGAACATGAGGAACTCAGTGGTCTCACTCTACAAAAACCACAGGTGGGCCATCTACTCTATGATATTACAATAGTGTAGCACATATCAGTGTGAAAGGGAAGACCAGCCAATCCCTTCCAACCTCATCACTAGCGTAATGCTATGGTTTATTTTTTTCCATGAAAAACATACAATAAACTCAAAACTATACCATTTTATTTGTAGGACACATGCAGCATTTACAAGTCCAAAATTACTCTGCAAATCTGTAGCTGCTAGTGTAAGCTGGAATAGTCAGATATACTAAAAGTGGTAATTAATACATGCTAAGTGGTCAGGCATTGGAAGAAGCTGCCCAGGGAATCACTGTCCCTGGAAGTGTTCATGAGGACATAGTTTTGTGGTGAACATAGTGGCACTGGATTAATGGTTGAACCTGGTGATCTTAGAGGTGTTTTCCAACCTACGTGACTCTCTGACTATATAAATCTATGATAAATGCCTATCAGGCACCCAGGATGCATGGCTGAACTTCGTTATCTTTGGGATTGAGCTGGGAGAGCGCCCAAAGGGAGATATGAGGGAGGACTCCAGGCAGGCACTGGTGCCAGCACAGTAGAGGTATGGTGCCCGTTGGACCATCTCAGGAGAGAGGTGGTAAAGGGAATGGCTGGAGGCTGCTCTGAAAAGCCAGTTTGGGAATCCTGCATGAATTTAGCAGATGGTTATTACAATATGCCCTCATACTGACTACAGGAACAACGACAACCATGTGCTTGAGACCTTCAGCAAATGTCTGAATTATGTAGCTGTGTGCAATTGTCACAGTATCCGAGGAACTTCCACACACGGTCTGTGGCCAGTGACATCCCCCAGTCCCCACAGGGGCTCTAGCACTTCTTGGGGCCAGTTATGATGTTACAGTTCTGGCACTGAACAGCAATATCTAATATGTGCTGCCCTTCTCATAACACTCAAAGCAAGAAATGAAACTGCTGGCTGTTTACTATAATTTCCAATTTTAAAGAAGTGTTCCGTGCCAAATATTGGCCAGGTTTTACACCAGTGGAGTGTTTGAACTGGCTTCCTGAAAATAAAATAAGATGTAGGCACTGCACTATCAACTACATACCTTTTATCAAGTAGTACAGCCTTTTGCAATCATGAAAGTGCTCTCAAATGCCCTGCTGCTGGGGTTAATTCTGTATTTTCTTTAAATCAAGCATTTAGGCTATTTCCGTTTTGGTTGAGTCAGCCCCCTCCAGAGTTACATATCCCTGCCAAGGGGGATGCACAACATGTACAGTTCACTGATACAGATCTCTTGAGGCCTATGGTTTGGCTTTAGGGTCAAGAAAGAAAATTCAGAAGGCACAGTGTTTGAAACAAAGTTAGCCTTGCTTTTTCCTCTAGAGAATAAGATCACGGCATATACAAACACAACTGAATGTGCACTAAACCAACTGAAACCTGCTCCATGCCTATTCCTTTAAAACAGGAAAGTGAGTGCTGTGCTGAAGAAGTCCCACAGGACACTCTTCCCTGTAGCAAGCAGCATCTTCAAACCTCCTATTGATTCCTTACCAAGGGATCTGCATACATATACAGACCCCAGCAAAAAGGAAAGGATAGATGCAGTAACCATCCTAGACACAGAATGGTTCCAGACTACTACAATGATTGCAACCAATATGTGTCTTTAATATCTGTGAGATGTTTTTGATACTGTGTTGAGGTGAAGCAGGTTAGAAAATCTGTACATGTGGTCCTGTGTTAGTAGCAAGATTTGTGCCTGCATATTACTACACTTTAGAAAGTCAGAGAATCTTGGGCAATGATACAATGTCTTCAGACAGAGCCTCAGAAGTACAAAAGAGATCTGATAAAATGTAAAATAACTTTTGTATGCTTCATCTGCAAAAGAGTTTTTTGAGATACTGGTACTATATGTGCACACACACATATATGTGTGTGTAAATACATACCTCTGTATGTAGTATGTATTATGAAGAATGTTCTATGCTAGTTTACTAAAAGCCAGACTATGTAATTACTTTAGTGGAGTCAAATAGCCTCTCTGAGAATACAAAAATCTTTCAGAGGCAAGGCAGAGTCTTCATGGTGTGATGTACAGAGTGCTTTGAGGTCTGTTGATATGTCAAGTGCTGTTTCCCATCATCCTCATGCTCCTTGAGTTGTGCTGTACACAGTATGAATTATCCACACAGCAATGTGTTTAGGTGCCTTGATGCCCTTTACTTCCTGAAGACTGAGCTAGCTTTTTCTTGATTCCAAGATGCAGCACTGCAGTGCGCATTACAGAGCTGATCTCAGGCACTAAACTCCTTGAGGTAAGGAGTCCCAATACAGGCACAGAGCTCCTGCCTTTGTGGTTCCTCACACATCCCAAGAAAACACAGGTGTACAGTACAGTGTATGCAGATCTGTGTCCAACTTTGGATGCAAACAGGGTATATGTGGGGACCAGGACTACACAATATACTGTAGGCTGCAACTCCAGTGCACTTTACAGTATCTGACAATGCAGATACTGTACAGGAGAGAGGTATCTCTAGGGACACCTTTCAGGCCATCATGACAGGAGTTGATTCCTAGCTTTAGTGTGCTTAGTATTCACCAAAAGCTTTTAATTATATAAGAATCTACATTCCTAACCTACAGATATTCATTCAGATAGCCAACATTTCCTTCTCCACCCAGGGAGGAAGAAAAGCAGAATCTGGTTAAAAATCACAATTATATAAGATGAGGTCAGTGTTAGCAGCATTAGAACTGAAAAATTTCAAGCATTTTTCTTGTTGGCATTTATATTGAAGTTTGTTTGCCATTTGCATTTCTTTGTATTTCACTGTGAGTCTAGGATTAAAATGCACACTGAAACTCAGCTGAATCTATAAAGCATCCACTATAAAAATTCATGCTCAGTCAGAAACTTTGCAAAATTTTAATGAAGCCATAACTAAATTCAAAGTTAAGTTAGCTGCGCTTTGTTATTTTGTAACGAAAGTTTTGTGCTGCCCTGCTCAAATGGAGGACGGCTGCTGCTCCTGTGATTAGTAAACATGGGAGACACGCTGAGCCAGTGTCTCCCTGTGGCATTCTCACTGAAGTCAAAGTCACCCTCGAGATGAATTTGACCTGTTGAACTCAGTGTTTTTAGAACTAACAGCATAATTTCTTCAACATACAGCTACAAGGAAAAAGACTCATAACTTGAAGGCCGAGTTGTATTAAGTCAGTTTAACAGTGTAGAGAAAAGGTATGGAAGAAAAATCTGACCCAAACCAGATTAAATTCTGATTTTCTGAAACATTGGATGAACCCCTCCCCCCGCCCCCCCCCCATCCATGGTAACATAACCTGAGGCAGAATCAGAAGGCGGGACAAGGATGCCAGTGTTTATATACACCATGAAAAGTTCCATGAATCATATCTTGATTTTTGTCTAACTTTTCTGTTATTATTGCAAGGTCATCAAATCAAATGTTTTTGAGGCTATGGAAATTTTTTTATGGGAAAGTATTTTTTGTTTTGATGACAAAAATATTGGTTCTGTGTTTTTAAATTGGTTAAAGTTGAGCAACTTACCCTTCTCTCAACATTCATTTTTCAGTTTAACAGCTAAACCAACATAATTAGTAATTTATTTAAGACATAGGTTATACACTATTGGTTTGGGATTTTTTTCAATGTAAATGATTGTATTTTGAACATCACACTTTGAACTATTATCATTAGGATTTTTTAATTGATTTATCGTCAGTAATTTTCCTGTGGGTTTTCTCAGACAGCATTTTTAGTCCTAACACCTCCAGGTCTTTAAATACATGTATGGCAAAGGAACTGGAAGACTATTTTTTTTAGTAAAACTTCACTAAAACCACAGTCCAAATGGAATGTGCATTTGGAATAGCTGGCAGCAATAGAAGTTAGTTTTTTGTAAATGCTTTTTCTGAACTACAACTATTGTCTTGAAAAAAAAAATTTCTTTAAAAAAAATTAAAGAAACCCCCCAAAACCAAGAAAATGTGGTAAAGTCTCAAAGAAGACCCAGAAAGATGACATTTCTATATTTTTTAGATATTCATCTCTCATATCAAGGTGACATAAAAGTCATGCACTAACTCTAATTTTCATCCTTTGAGTACAATTGGCCTGGTTTTTTCAGTGGTGTTAACACCATAAGTAGTCACAGAAAACAGGTGTGTTTTCTTGAAGTGTTAGTCATGAGACATTAAAGA